TTAACTTCCAGTACAGGAAAATATGCTGAATATACCATTTCATGTCTTAGATGTAACATCGAGCGAGTTTTCATGAGATCAATAGAGCAAAATTTAAATACGTTCACTCCTTTGCCGCCATGTTCCAAAAAACAACAAAATTTACTATTTTTCGCAAAGCATCACGGTATTTTTGATCGCGAGTTTCTCAATTTTTAAAAAAATCTCCTCTTAACACTTAACACACATACTAATTATTAATCAGTTTAATATTATTAAAGTGTGAAGTCCTTTATCCGTCCCGCCGTTAACCGTTTATTTGTCCTTTTCTCGTGTTGTTCAGTAATCATCTTTTGCAATATTTTACAATATCGCTATCTGCGCATTCTTTACGGCAACATTTATAATAATGGGGGCCGCCATAGAAAACAAGATGGGCGTACTTCCCAGAAGATCTTTTGGTTTGTGATATTTCAGGTGCTGCTATGCTGTCGCTTGTCAGCGGTTCTAAAATGGAAGGAAAGAAAATGGCATGATTGAAATACTGTCCGAAACACCGCGGATGTCAGCATCTCAAATAAATGACAAAAAACCAAAGTACCCTCCCCCCCTATAATTTATATATATATATATATATATATATATATATATATATATATATATATATATATATATATATATATATAATTCAATTGATTTTGGTTATCTAGATATATAAAGTGCTCAATACTAAAAATATAGCAAAGCTTATTAAATTGTCTATATCTTAAAATTAAATATCGCTACTCTGAGTTTCACGTCTTTCTAGACGATCATCAGGCGATTTTGTTCACGATTTTTCACAGAGGAAGTATATACAGAGAGTTCACTCAAGTCAAAACAAGTCACGCGCACGATCGGGCATACTGCGCATGCGTAACCTCACAGCCAGTACCGTGAAATTTTTTTATAAGGAAATAGATGGGGAAATCCGAATTTTTGTCATAAAAACAGCGATTTTAACAAAACAATCCAGATGATTTGCTGTTTCGTTTTAATTTCAAGAAAATGGGTTAGACTGGACATTTTTAACAACAAATGGGGCTACAAACACTACTTGAACGCTGCAAAAAGGGAAAATTATACTCGAAGGAGTGAAGTTCGAAACTTGTGTTGACAAGTCAAAAAGAGATAAAAAAAGTTGTCCTACACGATGATCTATACTCCAGCTGTGTCGTTTTTGCGGCAGAAAAGCTCAGAAGTTGTTCAGAATTGTCATTTCAGTATATTTCGTATCGTATAATGTTCAGGTAAGAGCATAATTCACTTTTTTCAACGAGAAAAAAAGTAGCAAAAACAAGTCTAGACCTAAATGTCTTGCCACTGAAATATATTCCCGGCAAATAGTTTTATTGTTCGCTTTATAGGATATCATAATCTATGAGCAGACCGCTCCTTCAACTTTCAAAATCAAATAAAAGTTTTTCAAAAGCTCAACCATACTTCTTATGTGAATAGAAAAGATCATTTACTGTTATTGTTGAAAAATGTTGTGCAGATATGAAGCTGGAAAGCGTTTTTTCCTTAAAAATGCCACTTTTTGCACTTCGAACTGCGTTTTCCCTATAGTTTTGTCTGAAAACGCAGCGACGGTACTGGCAGCTGGCATATTAAATTTTTTTTTGAATATTTGATTTGCTTTTGATGGCGTGTAAATGACGTCAGCTTCGCAAATACGTATGACGTCCTAAACACTGCATTTTTCACCGAGTGAATTCTCTTTATATCTTTACTCTTTGATTTTGTTCTTACGTGATTGCATCATCAACCGATCGCTGATGCGTTGACTTGTTTGTTCGCGCGCATTCGAATTTCGCCATCGAGAAAAATTCAGCGCCGGGAAATTCGAACACGCGCGAACAAACAAGTCAACGCGTCAGCGAAGGGTTGATGATGCAATCACGTATAAGATATATATATATATATATATATATATATATATATATATATATATATATATATATATATATATATATATATATATATATATATATATATATATAGTAGTGCCGCGGATTAAAATAATTTTATATTACTGTCTTCAAGGAACTCCTGAACTGCCACAGAAATGTAACTATATATTCTAATTTCTGTCATGTTACTACATCCTCATGTAGTATGTAATAACAATATAGTGCTGAGAGTTGCGTGTTGTTCAATGAGAAGGACAAAAGTTTTGTTGAATGCTTTGAAAAGTTTTCGATCACGCCAATTTTAATAACAAAACCATATTCAAGAAATGTTGCATTAATTCAATGCATTATTGTGTTTTCAATTTTTTATGCTTTGATCGCAAATAATTATCGTAAGATCTTCTTGATGTATGTCAGCCAAAAACACAAAACGAAAATTACAAAAAAGCTAACTATAACCATTCGTTTCGTATTATAGTTACGCATTATATATATTTATCAACCACATAGGCCTATACAAAACAATGGAAACTCCGAAGAAATTCGTATTTTTACTTCAACGTTTCGACTACTGTTGAGTCATCATCAGGAATTATCATAATCATAATTCCTGATGATGACTCAACAGTTGTCGAAACGTTGAATTAAAAATATGAATTTCTTCGGAGTTTCCATTGTTTTGTATTTATTAGAATACTCAGTGGTTATCGAGAATATAGGCCTATATGTCTTCAAAAATATTTCAGAAATACGGACCGAAGGAAAAAGAATGTTTTTATTTGATTGTGGAATTAGACAATAATATAACACGTACGTCGGGGAACCTGATCTGTTCCTATTTGTTCACATATTGACAGTACGTACAAGGCTTCTATAATGTATCGCCCTGTCCTAACTGAATTTAATAACTGTGAGCTGTCTCTTGATCAATCCTGTATTGTGGTTGAGGATCAAAGTACTGGGGCCGGTTGTACGAAAGGTGGATAAGTTATCCAGTGGATAAGTCCTATCCAATGGATAAATCTCCTATCCAATGGATAGCTATCTGCCGAATAAAAATGCGTTGTACGAAGCACGGATAGCAGGGTGGATAGCTATC